CCTGCTGAATCCAGTGCTTGTTTTCAAATATTTGTGTTATCAACAAGCTACATGAGTGTGCATAACAGGCTTTTCACAAATCTGAAGAGATGCTTTAGCCATAAGCAAGAAGCAACATAATCAGGATATTGAGAAACTCATCTGTTAAATAATGAAATTAGTTTTAAATGTTTCTCTGAATTGATATTTTTAAGGGCATTTTGATGCAATGTCTGGAATATGCTAAGTTACTCACTTGAAGCTTTTTGAATGCTGCTGTATGCCTAGAACCACTGAAAAATCAATTACTTTCTAAAAGTTAGTCACTTGGTGCATATACACAAAAATTGCTTGTTGATAATCTTCCAGATGAGAGCTTTCTCTGCAGAATGTGTAGCTGAAGTTATATAAAGCACACGGTCATGTTCTCTTATAGCTTACAAGCAAAGCAGAAGTTTCTTGAAAACCTTTCCTTTGCCATTTAAAAAGTCTCAAAAATGTAAAGAAAAAATTTTGAGTGTATAGGTTTTGTTTAGATTTTAGTTATTTTGGTTTTGTGAAATTTGAGCTCTTACCCACCCTTCCATTTTGAATTCTTCAGTATTGGCTTTCTTTGTAGTGATCTACTAATCTCAGAGTTGGTAAGATCCTGCCTTTTCTCAGTTGAAATGAGGGTCATCAGAAGTGCTCAGTTATTGTTTTTTCCTCAAATTAATACTAATATTGTGATTCACTCAATTAGGTTATTGTAGTTTTGAGAAGTCACATTTCCTTGTTGTTCAGTTCTAATCTAGTATTTTCCTGCTAAATTAAGATTATTCTTTTCTGTCCTGAGGAAGCCTTTACTTTTTAGAAGAAATATTTTTAAAAATCTCCAACTTGCTGCTTTTGTTTTGCTTTTATATAGCAGTTTACCACATGGTAAATGAAAATGTTTTCATTTTAAATAACCAAACCTGCAATATGGGTAGCTCCTACTCCAGTTAAATTAAATATCCCACTCTGGGAACAAGCTCTGTGGTGTTCTCAGTTCAGAGAACTGGATTGACTATGAAGTTTTACTTACCTAATGCAGAATTTGTTGGGATAATTATAATCAGCCTGAAAACAAGCACTGAAGGCACAAATAGTGTGTGGTTTTTAATACTAACACTCTGTTAAGTAACTTTGATAATTTGATCACTGCTCCATATTTCTCTTGTGTGCATGGATATATAGAGAGAGACCTTCTATCCATTAGAGCAGATGGTTTGTACACAAAACATTGTGTTTCTAGCTAAATCTGGCAAAAAAAGAACCCCTTAGATTTAAGATTAGTGTTCTTTTTGTTTACAATGTTAAGATTTTTATTTAATATAGCATGACTGCAAACTTATTGTTGATGCCTATATTCTTTAGTAGTACCCAATATTAGGTAAAGTGATCTGTGGTTGAAGTATAGAGAGAAAACAGTTCTCTGGAGGGATGAAAGTGGAGGAGTGAGTAAGGAAAATTCCATTTTTAGGTTGATACTGTGATGCATTAAAGCAAATAATATTTCTAAACTGTTTTATGAAAAAAAAACCAGCCTAGATACAGTGTACCAAGTCTCTCACTGTTTGATTTTGAGAAGACATTCTGTGCCAAGTTAAACAGTTTTGTGGTGTAGTCCTTCAGGTAAACAGACTATTTATACAAGGCCTGCTATTTTAATCAAAAATTTCTGTTGATTTCTGGTACTAGAAGCGAGTTCTTCATATTTTCTTGTTATTCCTAGCAAATTGACTTGGTTTTTGTTGGTTTAGAGCTAGCAGGTGTATGCTGGAGATGGCATAATAATGTCTTTCAGGAATATGGCCAGCATAACTGTGTAGACAATGTCCTCCAAATATCTTTTGTATACTTTTGGAAATGTGTGTTTATTTCAGTCCTTAGTAGTGTGAAATAGTTCCAGACTTAGGCTGTGTTTTTCTAAGAGGGCAGAGTAATTTAAAGCCACAAGTACTATTTTTAGCACCTGTGAAAGTCCAGGGACAGGACTAGTTTTAGTGTTTTCATGGTAGCACAGCACAGTCTTCCAGGTTTTTGATCCTCTCCTTGCTTCCACTAGGAAATGGAGAAGAAAAGTGACAGTTCAAGGTGACCTATGTAATTACAAAAACCCTGTTAAAATTTCTTCCTGCTGCCTTTAGGGATGTACGTAGTGACAAAGTGTCTTGTGAAGGAGACTGCCAGTGTGAGCCTTAGCACCAGAGTACTTTCAGCTTGATTCCTAAAGAAATAAAGCTTGTACAGGTCAGCTTTTTCTTGTCAGTCTGCCAGAGCCCAGCACCTGCCTTCCCTCAGTGCTTGAAGCTCTTGGCCAATTTGAGAAAGGGAATACTAAAGATGAGAAGTTGCTGCAAGGTTTATGAAACTGGCTGGCCAAAGTAGCCTGTGATACCTCTAACGAGGGAAAAGCCTGTGCTCATTCCTTCCTTAGATGTCTGAGGAGCCACAGGGGCATTCAGCTGGAAAAGCAGCTGGTAGGAGGCTGTGCTTTCTTCCTCCTGCTACTTCTGCAGGTACTTTTTCTAGCAATAGATTCTGATTTTATGGCGTGCTTGAGTGTTGCTGAGGCCTAGTAATGTTAAAACAGTTAGCATAGCAATAACACTTGGAAGTTAAAAAGCTACACTGAATGGAAACTGAATAGCTTGTCAATCTTTTTGCCTTTTATCTGTTGTTATTCAATGTAGTTGATTGAGTGGAGTGGAAAAGTCTTTTAAATAACTAACATGGATTTAACAACTTTACCTTCCTAGCTGGTGAGCAAGAGCAAGGGCATCTTAAAAGTGCTAAAATGAAACTTCCTGTGAAACGTGTATCAAAAACTAAAGCTTTGTTAGCCTTTGATCAGCAGTCTAACTCTTCAGTAACAACCCATGTTGCTATTACAATTGCTACTAAGTACAATTTTAGCATAAACTTCAATAGATTTAATTATGATTCACATACACTTACTGATGTTGAACAAAGTACGTCTCGTATTGGCTGTGGATGCTCAACTTGAAGTTCAACAAAGCCAGTCAGCCTTAGGAGTCCTGAAGTTTAGTGATGTTGCTTTAAAAGCCATGTCAAAATTTACTAGAAATAAGCTGCTTCAAGGACTTGAGGGTCGTGTTTTGGTTTGGTTTTAACTTTTTTATTCTTTCATTTCAGGAGCAGGAGCTTAGTGCTCGAACACAAGCACTTCAAGCTGCCTCAGCCTCCTGCTCTTTCCGACCCAATGGATTTGATGACAATGACCCCCCAGGAAGTTGTGGACCCACAGGTGGAGGAGGAGGGGGTGGGTTCAGTACTGTTGGTAGATTAGTTTTTTGACTATGAAGACAACCTGGAGTACACTGATTCCAAAGCAGCCCAGTACTGCTGAGGACAACTAAAATAATGAACTTTGTCAGACATTGTACCAAGCTTTGAGACTTGATTCTTGTTCAAAAGCAAATGTGGGGGCTTTTTGGTTATGTTTTATTTGAAATAAATAAGTGCATAATGGAAAAAAAACTACCTCTTCAAAATTCAGTTGCTTTTATAGTAAGAAACTCTTGCCCAAAAGACAGAAAATGGAGATTTTTTTTTTTTAAAGTAGTTGCTAAGGACACTGCATTAAACTGAACACATCTAAGTTTCTATTGTCCTCATCCACTTAATGAAGAAAGTTCATATTTTTACTCTGAAGATCCTGCTTTGTGTGGAAATCCTTTCAGATGGGCTAAACTGCATATGTAGTCTCTCACCCCCACCTTATCTTCAATTCCAACACCTTTATGGATTTCCAGAGAGGATGCAATTTATAATGAAGGCAATAACTTAATTGTGACATGATACAGTACTTTCCAGATGACAAATTATTCAACATATTTCCCGTGTACATATAAAGAAGAAAAAGTAATTTATAAATATTTGCTAAGTTGTTTTCCAGAAAAAGTGCATGTTCCATAATGTTTTTAAATAGAAATGGTTAACTTTGTAGCATTTCTAATTGTTTTGAGGATTTTAAAATCATTTCAGGGACTCTCTCTGCTGTGTATTGGAAAGGAAGAGATTTTGTATGTGCCTTGCAGTACTGTAACTTAAAACAAACTTTCTGAGACTGCAGAAAAGTGGGAAGATGTGTTAGTAGTAAATTTTATTTTGGTCAGTGTTAGAAATCAGTGCATTCATAGAAAGCTGCTAGGTTTCCAGAAGTAAAAATCTGCTAGTTTGAAACACAGTAAGTGTGATGCCCATTTATTTTTTTTTTGATTAAAAATACCCCAAAAATACCTAGTGATTTATCACTTTGGTGGCTTGTCTTGCTAGGAAAAAAGCTGGTCATGAATACTGAGGTATGTCTGTGCAGTCCCAGGGAGGCTGCATGTATTGATCCTTGCTGAGGAACTGGGCTTCTTCCTTTGAAGTTTTGCTTTCTGACTGTGCTTGTAGTGAGACATTTCTGCTGAATTCAGATTTTCACTGTCTTCAGAAGACCAAAATGAAGCTGTGTATGGAGTAGTGTTTGCTTGCTTGCTTAGGCCAGCAGAGGTTGAGGAATCCCCTCTTAGTCTTGGCAGAAATAGCAGCTTTGTTTTTTGATGTGCAATGAGGATAACAGAAGAAAAGGAGTTGCATTGTTGAATCTGATTAATTCTTAACTTGGATAATCTTACAGTGAAGTACAAATTTATTTATAGTATTTTTACAAAGTTCTGCACTGTTTTACTGTGGTTTTATATTCTAATAAGTGACAAAGTGCATCTTTAAAAAGCATGCAAACCTGGTAGGTGTTAGCTTAACTGTATAAAATAAACAAATTTCTTAGAAAATGCCTTTTAAAAAGCATAAAATGAGTTGAGAAAATCAAATCTTGTTCATATAATATAAAATATATGGAGTTTAGTCTGAAAGGTGACTTAGCTTGCAAGCTATTTTTGTATTATCACTAAACCCATGCTGTTTGCTGTGCTGTAGGTTCATATCTTACTGCTCAAGAAAGCCAGAGCATATCACTTCAATTTTATTTTTGCTTTAATAGTTTCCAGGCTTTGTTTTGGCCATTTAGTAGTACCTCAGCTGTGACCTGTGCTTTCATTGCTCTCTCAGTCGTAGGTCTCTGAAGCAGGGGTTCTGCTGTGGAAATGGGGAATGTTATGAGACTAGTGTGAGGAGCATTCTCATTTCGTTGTGCTTGGATGAGGTTTTCTTGACAGCTCATGTTCCTTTGGAATTCTGTGACTTTCACTCTAAGAAAGTTTTTATTTCTTTTTAGGCTTCTCTGCCAGTTAGCTCTGGTTTTAAAATTTTTCATATGACAGGTTAACTTGGCTTTTCTTTCCCAAATTTTGAGGACACACAAAAAAGCTGTCTGCTGTTTGCATTACAATGGGAGTGTTTTGTTTCTCTATCAATGTACTGTTAATTTTAAAACACTGGTAAGTAGAAGTAGGGGCAAGTGTTTTTATTCTATATGAAATCATAATTTTGTCAAGGTTAGTTTTGGCTTTAGGTTCTCACAGTAAACATACAAAATGTGTAGCCTACCTAAGAACAAGCTGCAATACAAGTTTTGGCTACCTGTTGTACTATATTTCATGACCTCTTGGAAGGCTTTCTACACCCTTGTTTGCCTGTTCTAAATTAGGTGTTAAATATGGAAATTTTATACAAGGGTAACTCCAATGGGGTTATATCTCCTTAGGTATCAAATGATGGTATGTCTCAAACTGAAAATAACTTCTTTCCCTTTGACTTCTCTTGACACAATTACTTTGGGTCTCACAAATAGGTATTCTGAATTTTAAAAACTATCTGCAAGTCTGCTTGCTGACCTGACAACCATCATAGGCAGATTTGTGACTTTCTTGGAAGCTTTCAATACAACTAGTGGGAAGTGAAGTGTTTCACACTCTAAAATGTCCACCCTTTTTTATTGTTTACAGTAATGGTGTTGCATGATCCCATCTTCTGGACATGATATGAGAGAACAATGTACATATGGTACTTGGAGCTCTGTTGCCTGTGAATGAATGCTGGATAGTTTATTGACCTTTTGGGCTCCATTCTTCATTTGTTTTCCATCTAAGCTGAATTAGTAGAAAGATGCAAAATGCATAATACTGTTTCTGAAGCTTAGGGAGCTTTTGTTGTTTCCTTTCATGAAGGATACACTACTGTGCCAAACTCAAGGATGGTATGTCTTTTAAAATCATATTTCCTTTCAGCAAGGCAGATTGTGGTTTGATCTTTGTTTTAATGGTTGGTGGAGTCCTATTAACTTTCTTCTATACAGTTCATCTTGTACAGATTTTCGTGTGGAGTATTAGAGTGGATTGTTGTGCATGTCACCCCCATGACAAGTGATTAAAATATCTACAAGCCCATTTATCCAGGATGAGGAAAGAAAAAGCTTCTTTGGATAACTACACAAATCACACCTTCTGGCTAGCTCATTTTCCTTCCTTCTTTTCTTTTTCCCTGCTCTGGAAAGTTAAATATTTTATCTTCTGTATGCCTTGGATGTTAAATTTCATGGGTAAGCCCTTTTTTTAATCTGTAGCAGTAAGGTTGTTTGAGGAGTTAGAATACTTTTTTTTTTACCAATGACAGGCCAGGAGTAGAAGCACTGAGAGCTAAAGGAGTGTTAGAACTAAAGCAAGTGGATATAAATTTTCTGTAAATAAGATTTAGATTAGAAACCAAGTTCTTAATTACTAGCACTAATTCTGGAACAGCCTTCCAGGCAGAGACCTGCTTTGAAGGAAGAGCCAAGTAGATCTATCAAAGAAATAAAATTCAAAGTGGTGTCTGAATAGTAGGCAACTAGGCTTGATAAACCAGAGGTCCTTCTGGTCCCTTCCTATGATTCTGCTCTTCTGTTGGACTTCCAATCTTGGCACATTGCCAGGTCTGTTTAAGGCTTGAAGATGAAAGTGTAAATGAAGGGAATTCTGAACTATGACATAAGCACAAAGGTTGACTGCTTCATTCTGAGTGAGGTTTGCCTCTGATTTAGGGGAGCGAGGCATAAGTATTATGAAGTTGGAAGTGGGAGCTAGGAAGGCTTGTGAGCCAAAGGACTGTGCTCTAACACAAGGGCACTTGCCTGCTTGACAACCTATGATGGGATTTAATGGGTTGGAGTACTTGGTATCTTCAGGAGGCTGTAATCAAATGTAAATCATTGCATGTTTTCTGTGGGTGAGCAAACGATCTATGATCTGCGCAAGAGATCAGAGTAGGTGATGTTGGAAGCTTTCAAGTTCCCTAGAGCCAGTCACCACAGGTTTACTTTAATTTGAATTCATAGCTGTGAGTAATATGCTCTTAAATCATAGGGGTGTCAGGTCAAATGTAACAGTTGAGTACCAAAAATGGTGTGACACTTTTTGGCTTGTGTCCAACACAGTTCTGTACAGACTTCAGAACCAGTGAGTATGCCTGTTGCAGCAAGGGGGTGAGAGGCTTGGCCTGGCAGTTGAGCTCTGGCTGTGATGTGGATGTAACATTGGCTTACCACACATGCTTTTTATTTTGTTTTTAATGCACACTCATACCCCCATGCACTATGAACCTTCCTTTTGCTTCAATGAAAGTATCCAGATCAAAGGGAAAACAAACAAAACTAGCCAGGGTGAAGCAGAGATGAATGTTTTTAAATTCAATGTGCTGTTTTCTTATTTAAAATAAAAGTGGGGTGCTTTTTTCCCTAAGTCTGTTGGATTCTAGGCATATGTATGGAATCAGGATACACATTTCTTTTGTGTCTTTTTCCAGCTTGGGTGGTATTTTTAGGAATCAGTTGTAAAAGTGCTGGAATAGGGATGTCAAAACGCACAACCTGCTGCTGGTGCCTTGGTCAGCAGCATGCTGCCACACGTGCTGGAGTGCTGGGATACTGGCTGCAGACTTCTCCAGGTACTAACTGGGAACTGTGCCTTGCTGGGTGGCCATTTGGGACCTTCACTGTCCTCTGCATCTCTGGGTGGCCAGAGGCAGCCGTCCAGGAGTGCCACCTCAGCATGTGTCTCTGCAGTGAGGGCTGCAAGAAGAGTCTGAGGTGGAACAGCCAGCCCCACTTTTCAGGTGCTAGCTCAAGAGGGGCACAGTCCCCAGTCCCCTCAGCCACACCTCTGGGTCCAGAGCAGGTGACTTGGGGACCCTTCACAGTGCTGACAGGGACCAGCACCCGTGGCAACCAGGGTGCAGAGGTCAGGTGGTGGCACATGGAGTCAGTGTGCAGGAAGGAGGAGCAGAGGGTTGGTGAAGAAGTGCTGGTGCAAGAATAAAGTGAGACTAGAATGGCAAAAAGGAAAGGATGGCTCTGACCCAGAAGTTAGATAGGTTTTAGTGATAATTTCACATGTCTCTGCTGTAAAGCTGTAATTTCATGTTATTCCACCAAAGGATGCTGTCAACAATGCTTTGTTCTCCAAGCCTAATCCTTCTACAATTTCCATATACATTCAGCATGCTTGAGTGGGAGAAGTTCTCAACAGGCATATTGAAAATGTGGAGTATTTCAGA